AGCATTATCATGACATTCGCGTGCACTTGATTGTAAAAAAAATTTATTAAACGATCGGGTGATGAACTATTTTGAAACAATGCATTCATCATTAAAGAATGTGATTTTCGGGTAAATCAGGGTATCGCCAAAAAAGCTGGTGTTTAAATAAATCCAAAATTGACCTTACACTGTTTCGTGCGATTATACTTGAAACTGGAGCGATTTCGGCGCACATACGTATCGTACTTCGCGTATGTTCATTGACCCTGTTGATCAGGTCGCTCTTAATGTGCTCGTGTATTTTTGGCGTCTAGGTGTCCTGCAGCGGATCCGCGGGTCAAGCGGATCAAGAGCCTTACAGCGGTTTGTACTTAACTATCTTCCTCGTGGCGCAGCTTCTTCACGGCGCGGGCTCTGCTCCTTTTTACACGCTCGGAGTTACGTACCTCGACGAGAACGTATCGAAAAAGATGTCGTCCGTGTACCTAGGTAAGAAACGGGCTGATGAGTTTTGTTCTTCGCTGAAGTTCAGCGAAATTTTTCATCTGTAAACGAGCTGCATCTGCTCCTGACCACCGCTATGAGACCTCTGGCTAAATTAATGTTTGTTCTTGTCTATTAAAGATTAAGTTCTTGTTCCATATTCGAAATGGTGTTTGACGAAATTTATTTGTTATTTCAAGTCATTTTCGTTCGAACTATGTATAAGTTTCATTTTGTATTTCCACGTGATACGCGCGTTTTTTGTCTTTCATTTCAGTTTCGTTTACTTTTCTTTTGTTCACCTATTTCTCGTTTTTGGCAATATACTTCGACAATATTTATAAATTGTAACTATTCATTCAGTTTAGATATTGTCTGCGAGTTTTACGCATCATATTATACATATACATATAAATGTAATACATATTAAATTATGTTTATCACTTATGCAATTAGTTCACCCATTTATTGCATTTTGTTCATTAAAGAATATATGCCGAATTCATTTCATAGTTTTTGCTCGATACGACACGCATCGTTTTTTGAAATGTTTTCATAATATGTGGAACATACGTGGAACCAAATAGGTTCAGAAAAAGTAAAAAAACTGATAAAACGGATGTTACAATTAGTCCAAGAAGTAATTAAAATACACGGCGGATATATCGACAAAAAGAAAATTTTATTTTATTTTATAAAATTGACATTATTTTTATTATAATGTAAAATATACGTACATGTGTGCGAGTACTTGTTACAGTTTAATATAATTAACTTTGAAATAAATTTACGAAATTGTAACAATTTCCTATCGGTTTTTCTTTATTTAATTTTCTGTATATGTCCTAATACTTTTGAACAACGGTGTAGTATATAAAAAGAATTATCTACTTATCTAATTATATGTCATCTAATTAGAATTATTTCACTAGTATTCAATAAAAATTCTTTGATTTCTTGCAAATTTCTAACAATTTTAAATTGTAACTTATTTTTGTGCTACTGTATAAAGAAAGTCGAAGCCACAGCAATGTTTTACTACTTCTATTTTCATATTGTATTAATATTTATCTAGGCAATCAGGTACCTAGACATTCCCGGAAGTTATGAAATTTTTAAAGATGTCCACACTTCGAACCCTCTTAATCCTCATTTGCAGAATTGAGATATATGTATGTCATTCACATTTCAGATTCATTTGAACCATTTTGGTTGTCTACACAAAACTTAAAAGGTCCTTTAAGCCCCGAATAAAGATTGTGAAATGAATGAAGAAAATGAATTAGAAAGAATTAGACTTTGAAGAAACAGTTTTGAAAAAGGATATTCTTCTGTCTAGGAATTTTCTACACGATGGCTATAATAGGACCCGCGATGGGCTACGTAGTCGGTGGTGAATTGCTGAAGCTGTACACGGATTTCGTCACCGTGGACCCGTCAAAGTGAGTTTTCATTTATATTATATGAAAAATAAATAATGTCAAATAAATCTCCATGAATTTTAATAGAATTTTGCTGAACAATACTCGATTTTTATCAGTTAAATATTGTTCAACCGCTTGCCGTACCATTATCTTTGCATTAAACCGATTAAATTGCATCTACCGATTAAAACTTTTTCGATTACAAAAAAGAGACTGCGGATTTTAATAACTAACAATTTCCGTCGCGAATCGGTCTCGTCAAAGTACTGCAACAGATTAAATCATTAATTTGTTAAAAAGCAGGAAAATCTCAGACAGAGATCCGCGCGTTGGGTTCATTGTACTTTATTAGTTAAGTGTTGAGTGTTGTTGTATTTATCGTTTTATTAATAATTTAATCCTACACATATTATCACTCTTTCCACCAGAAGGCTATTAACTCCTTAAGTGATCTGTGAAATTTAAAGATCTGATTTTGGTCCAATTAGATTAGAACTAGATTCAAGAATCTAGTTTTTGGCAATTTTTAATTGTCTATTATTCGTTTGTTCTTAAATGCTTCGTTAAATCGAGTATAAATGACATAGCTTTTAATAAGGTCTTCGTTCTTAATAATGGATGCTTGATAATCGTTTTTTTTAAATAATACTTTGCGACGAAATTATTATTATATATTTATTATTATATCGATCCAAAAATTTTTTTGAATTATGTGCTGGGACTTTTTAACAATGTTCTAAAAAATTCTCAAATTCTCTATTGATCATTGATTTTAAAAGGTCAATTAGAAATTTGCCAGTGATGTGATAAGTTCAAAATCATGTTCTTTGGTTCGAAACATAAATTTTTTTAAGTGGCGATCGGTCCTTGCCGAATTCCAAAGACCTCTCTTGAAGTTTACGATTCTTAAACGCCTCGATCGACGCTCAGAGTAAACCAAGCTTCCGCGTTATTGAATTATTGAAGTCCAAGTACTCGCATTGAAGTGTGTCAGCCATTGATCGGGGCGAGCTCGAGCCTGTAGGGCGAAAAAAGCGATAAGACGTAGCAGAAGAATATTGGAATCGGTTTCCTCGTTAACGTTTCGGGGACAAGAGCCGTTAATTAAGCGTCCTGGACGCGTTTTCCGTGGCGTTCTGTGTGTTTTCCTCAGGTGTAAAGCGTCCTTCCAAGGCCGTGAAACGGCGAAAATAGATTATGAAAATCCGATACACTTTGTACAGACCGTCTCAGCCGTTAAATCGATTTCACCCGGCTGTTATACGCGAAGCGTTTAATAGCAGATCCAGCTAGCCTAGAAAATTTGCAATTTTCCTTATTTTCCTAGAGAAATGAGAAACTAGAAATTCCAGAGTTAATACGAGTAGCTATTATGACTGGATTGCGGATTTTTATGGAAAATAAAAGCTGTCCGCTTTAATTGCATGATATGGAAGGTATAAACATTCAGTTTTCTTGTTAATAATTTTAATGAGTTAGAAGAAAAATATAACAGTATTTGTAAATTCTTTAAATGTCTTCGCTGATTTATATTTGAACTATCCATTTTTATCATAAATGCGTATAGTCCATAGTTTAGTTATTACTGCTCGAAGTGAATATATTAATCTAGATTTAGGCTATTTTGAATATTAGTTTATCCCTGTGTTCATATACATCCATGAGAAAGTAATTGCTGGTATTTTTGTATTTTATTGAATAATTAAACGATCTATTTTTACTACAATATTTTACCAAATAATTAAACTATTTATTTTCACTATTTTATGAAATAATTATATTATTTATTTTAACTATTTTATGAAATAATTAAACTATTTATTTTCGATATTTTATTTTAAAAATTGAGTTATATTTATTCGTGTGTGTGTTTGTTTCATACATTCATTTGTCGTTTCAGATGCTGCAAAATTTTCTATGTCTCTATATATTTATTTAAAATATTTAATGTGTGAAGATGATAAAGTTCAATCAAATTTAATCACAATTTTTATCTTCATACCGAAGGATAATAATAACAGTAAGCTTTTACTGGGAACTACTATGTATAGTGAAGAACACGAAAACAAACAAGCCAAGCTCTTCGTTGTAGCGCAGAGGGCGAAGTTTAGCGGCAGGGTCTGTTATTATTGAGCCGAATCTAAATGAAAGATGTTATCGAAGACATACATAACAATCGAAGCGACAAACTAGAACGTAAACATATAAAAAAGTACATAAAATTATATATGATAAATATAAATTGTGGATTTTGAGAGATTTGGAAGTAACTGGTGTTTTATAGAAATAAAATAATAAAACGACACAAAATTGATATACACAACGACAGACGTTATATCTTTATAAAATCTGAATACAAAATAGCAAAAACATTCTTATTATTATTGTTGTTACTGTCGATTCAGTAAAAGACAATTTTTATTTTCCATAAAGATCCGCAATCTAATAATAACTAACTGCTATAAATATTCGGAGCACTTTTCAGATCACATCTAACGTACAGTATACATTATACATTATACGTTGTGTCGATTATTTTCCGCAATTTCTATTAATATATAATATTTTCATAGATGAACAATTGCCTGCAGTTTTAATATCAAATATGCGCGAGAAGTATATAAATTGCATTATTCCTTTTAATGAATTCATTCAGCCAAACTATTTTAAAGCATTTGCTTCCTACGTCCGCAATGAAATTTTCTTCTGAACTTTTCATAACTGAATAAGTTATCTAAATTTAGCAGCTGAGCTTGCCTCTTATAGGAGGAAGTTTAATTTCAGACCAATATTAATTAATATTTCTATTTTAAATAAGTCGATCTTATCATTAGTGTTTTTGATTGTGGCCAATGATAAGAAATTGTCACAATTCTTAATATTAATTAATATTATTTGTACTTTATACAAATAAATACAACCCTCATTCACCAAATTTGAAAGAATTTGTCTCTCAGACATTTTCAACTGTTTTAACATTTCGAACTATAACTAAACGTCGTGAAACATTGCAGTTATTCAATCATGCTACATTATGAAAATTGTTTAATAAATAAAGATATAAAGAACTAAGATAAATTGCATCGTTGACTTTTAATCGGTTTACCTAGTTATAATAAAATTAGTTTAACTCTTCTAACAGCAAAGGTGTTTACCCTCCGACATAACTGGATGAAAGATGTGCAAAGAGTCTGATTAAGAAAAACGGAGCAGATGTTAAGCTTCCAGGTAGCTACCTGAACTCAGCATGTTTGTTAGAGGGAAAAGCCATTTGTTCTAGTCTACGGTACAACAGCTCCCATAGCACCGTTTTGAAACAAGAAGACCACAAGCGTGCACCAAGGATGGCCGAGTCAGATAAATTGCACGGTCACCCCATAAATTCATTCGGTTCAGACATTGAGAATGTTAGATGTTAGTCCTTGAGTGAAAGCCCATTTGTGCATTTCTAACGAAAATGTGTCGATAAAATGCAACATGGTAAAAGCATTCGACAAAGAATTTCTATTAAAATTATTGGAAAAAGAAATAAATGTTCATGTAGCTGCTACATCTTGCAATTAATGCAGACGATTCTTCTTATAAATAAGAAGTGTACATCTAACTAAGGGGATAAGATAATCGTGATTTGTATGGAAAAATATCACAGAATGCAAGTACTTCATCTAGCAAGTCAAAAACAGATCAGATACAAAAGAAGGATGACGTTAAAAGAATTTCTACATAAAGCTATATTAACTAGTTATAATGAATGAAAGATGAAGCACCTTTTTATTTCACGGTCATCTCATGCAATCGATGGAAATAATTTTTATTTTACATAAATATCCGCAGTTCAGTTTAGCTGATTCGATATGTTCGATTCGGCAATATTGGTGGCGCACCTGTTTAATATTAGCATTACTAGTTCTAATAAAATTGCAGGTTTCCAAATCTTTCATCTACGATTAAATTACAATAAATTGTTCTGTTTGGACATATTATAACAGAAATTGTGAGAAATCTGAACAAAAACAGTCTCGTTACGTTTCTAAAATAATGTATAAGTTGCACAGAAAGTAGGAAAAATGCATTTTGGGTTTAATCACGACTTACAGCTCCTCTCGAACCATATTACACCAAATACAAAAATTATAAATTGATCTACTAACAATAGGATGAGCTAACTAAGTTGATCGCTCTGAGTAGAAGAAAAATGAAAAGACAAAACTAGAGCACAAGTCTTTATTGTACACTTAATAAAATAAAAAACATTTCAAGTTCCACAGTATCGAGGACTAAACTACCGAAAAAGACTGAAAAATTACGAATCAAAATCTTGCAGCAGTCACACGGATCAAAGAGACCAAATTAAGATCCGGTAGATCGTAAAACCATGCTTCCACCGCTAGATATTTCATCCCATTCTCCATGATCGCGTTCAGCGTACTAAACGGAACAGTATCGCGGCTAATTTGATGATTTGCGAGTAAGACGCGGGAACAAACTGCGAATTCACAGTTGCTAGAGCTCGCTGAAGCGTCGGGATAGCAGGAGGGGAAGTACACGGGAGTGACGCTCGTATTTGCATACCACCGGATGTCAGTTATTCCATTCGGAACACACGCGTTTCCGCGTGTACCTGTTCCAAGCTCCATGGTGTTTGCACCCGGGCGCCGTCTCCACGTGTGCGTGCCGCGTATTGTCGGACAGATCGGTGCAAACAGCCGATAAATCCTGGCGAGAATTTAATAAAGTTGCCCTGACGCCTTGCTCAACGTTCCAATGGCGGCCGCGGAACGGTATGGGGGTTGAGGCCGGTCACCCCCCGTTCGCGCGTGCGACGCCCGGAAAAAAGCGGGAAATGCGTTTAACAGTGGCAACGAGAGGCGACACATTCCGATGGTGTGCGACCATTACGCGTCATTCCCCATCGGCATTCGACGGCTATGAACTCTTTACACCAAGAAACGGTGTGTAATGAACGCAGACTGCTTCCGATTATAGATTTTCATTGATCCTCACTGTCCTTTCAATTA